AGGTCTTGAACCCGTGGGCTCAGGCAATCCACTCACCTCAGCCTCCCAAGGTGCAGGATTGCAGGCTGAGCCACCGAGCCTGGCTGAGGACAGAATTATTAAGTCAGCCAAGGATGGCCACTTATTTCTCTCTCTTGCTGAAGAGGGCCACTTATACCCAAGTGCCTTTAAGATGACACTGGAACAGGGGGATCAAGAGTTGTGCTCAATGTAGCTGACAGATAAAACCTGGGCCTGGTAAGTCAGTTTTTCTCAGTGAACAGGCACATTCTTGGCCAAGTTCAAGAGTGCTAAGGTACATGAAGTCTTGACCTTGGGCTGCTCCCTTCTTGCAGGTAAACGACCAGCTCCACCTCCCTACCCCTCCACCACAGCTCCTGTGTACCAAGCCCTCAGGGCGGAGTAGCTCCGTTTACCTAAAGGTTAATTTTAACCTGGGGAAAGAAAACTGACCCTGGACTTGACCTCTGGAGTTGCAGGTTGTCTTTGCCCTTTTCTGGCCCTTGCCCAAGTGGTAAGAGCAAGTCATGGCTGCTTGTATTTGTCTGTCGCAAAGAAAAGACCAAAAAAATGGTCAAATGCTGTTTGCTCTTGCATGAGAGGGCCGCAGGCATGCAGAGCAAGGAACTGAGCTCAAGGCTCTTAGAGAACAGGTTCACCATAGAGTTGGTTGTCTCCTAGGGACATGCCCCTGTATTCTAGGCTACCTGTGGCAAGAGAGCCACCTGGATGGACCTAAGACAGGAGCAAGGTGGCAAACAGTACTTGCCACTTGCAACTACTTTTGCTTTGTCTGGGGTCCCTTCTTCAGCCCTCTCCTCCTGTTTAATCCCCAAGGGTGAATCCTGCTGACTTCTCTAAAAAGAATCCTTTTAGCCGGGTTCGGTGGCTCAGCCTGTAATCCCGCGCCTTTGGGAGGTTGAAGTGAGTGGATTGCCTGAGCCCGCGGGTTCAAGACCCGCCTGGGCAGCGAGACCTCATCTCTACAATAAATCAAAAAATCAGCCGGGCATGGTAGCGCATGCCTGTAATTCCAGCTACTTGGAAGGCTGAGGCAGAAGGATCGCCGGAGCCCAGCAGGTCGAGGCTGTGGTGGCCGGGAGGGCCATTGCACTCCAGTCTGGGCGACAGTGAGACTCCAACTCAAAAAAAAAAAAAAAAGAATCCTTTTGTCTCCTTCAAAGGCTGTCTCCTAGGGACCTGCATTCTGAATCTAACCTGCAGGAATGCTCACTTGTTCCACTGTAGTGTGTTGTTGTTGCTAGAGTTGTTTGATAGAATTAGTTGCCAACAAAGCTGGGCGCAGTGGTTCACACCTGTAATCTCAGCACTTTGGGAGACCGAGGTGAGAGCATCGACTGAGCCCAGCAGTTTGAGACCAGCCTGGGCAACATGGCAAGACCTGGTCTCTACAATGAATCAAAAATTGAGCCAGATGTGGTGGTGCATGCCTGTAGTTCCAGCTATTTGGAAGGGTGAGGTGGGAGCATTGCCTGAGCCTAGCAGGTCAAGGCTGTAGTAGCCATTATCATGCCACTGCACTCCAGCCTGGGTGACAGA